TGGAAGGATAATCTTGAGACAAAGCTGCTGTGTACACTGTTCTATTGAGTATAGGGTCATACTCTGTGTGACATAGACCATCACTTGGTTTTGTAATGCCAGCTAGTGCTCCATCACCTGCTGTATGCATCGTATCATCAGTCATTACTAGAAGAATCTTTCTTGAGTTATCTCTCCAGCCAATGATATTATCACACACAACTGCTTGCAGCATTGCTTCTAATGTTCCTTCTGGATTATCAACGTTAGTGGATACTATGGCGTTGTGAACTGAGGAATTAAAGAGATCAGAGGAATTGGTGAGAGCTACAATGTGATGATAAGCAAAAGGTGTGTCACAGTCTGGAAGAGAGCACTCATACCCATTGAGCTGTGAATTAGACGTAAACGGTAAGGTTGGTTTATCAACATATGTACCAAAACCAATTAAAAAGTCTGATGAAACATTTCGAAGAGTAAGAGGGAGTTGTGAAGCCAATACCTGAACAGTCATGAGATCTTTTTTAAAGCTAGCTGATAGGTCCATCAATACATACACATCCAAAGGGAAATCATTTGCAGCTTTAATGGAGACATTGAACGAAAGGGGCTCATTCACTCTTAGTTGAATATTGATATTCTCCAGTGAAATCTGATTTGTTTCATCAATTGGGAACTCGCTGTATTCCAATACTTCACTTGTGGGGACAAAAAAGTCAGCAGGAGAGCACTTAGAGCTAGATACATTCTGGCAGCCACCTTGAGTTGGAGTGGAACACCAGCCACACTTCAGGACAATAATACAATCAGAGCATGTGAGAAGTTTAGTACAATCTGTGACTTGAGATAAAGCAGGACTAATGAGAAGAAACAAGACAAAATATATAAAGCACAGCATCTTTACTGGGCAGATGGCACTGTAACTTTAGTTTTCCTGATACAAGACTAGTTTTACTCTATTCACTTTTGTGCTTACTGTTTCATAATTAACACAAACACTTCAATGCTACTGTTTTATAATAAATACAAGTAGATCTACTTATTTACTGTATCTCCTCAAGCACAAAGTTATTCTCAATACACTTTAATGTTTACTTTCTTTATATTCTTACTAAGTACTAACAAGAGTGGATGGTACTAATAATATACTACTTTCATGTAGCATATTATCTATGCCTAGCTGTTACTATGTTTATTAGTATTTACCCATGTTTAACATGTTTACCTTTCACTCAATTCTCTGCATGTTTATTGTGTCATGGCATAGTGCTTAGAGTGAGGGTCAGTGCTATCATGATAAAACTTAATGTAACTAAGTGAAGCCCCTATAATTTTAAAGAATGCATTTAATGCATAACTAACCAATAAAAAATTATTCAACTTGACTTCTAGACCTCTACCTTGCAATAGTTTCAATTATGATACATTGAAGTAAATGTATTTTCAAATTATTTTAAAGTAATTATAACTATAAGTAGCTAATAAATGCAACTAGAAAAACAAATACATTTCTCAATTTATTGCACATTTATATATATAGCAGCAGTATCAGTTTGTTTCGCTAACTATTACTCAAACATTATCTCAAGTATAACATAATCTCATGTATTATATACTACTCCTCTAACATTAGCTGATCCATATGCAGCATTCTCTTCCATACTAACTGATACCATTGGAAAACTGTACTGTATCTGTCGGGATATCATATATCACTGGATTGTTAGTAGTAGTAGTAGTAGTAATATTAGTAGTGGTAGCATTGTCTAGT